TGACGAGGCCGGTACTCCCTGCCCCTGCACTACACGTGCATCAGGATTGACGAGCGTCACCACCGCTTCAGGCATCCAGGGCAGACCCCCCCCAGCCCCCACAGGACCCCCGGCTGCCTCGCGGGGCAATGACTTAGTGACGGCTGGCGAGCCCTGACTCTGCACGGGGCAGGCACTTCCGGGAGTGGCCGACACGCCACTGACACACACAGCTACGGCTGCATCTGGAGACCCCTCGGTGCTCCAGTACTGATTAAAATCCAGGTGTTTCCGACAGAATTTATATTGGAAATCTGAGCTACCTTTAAGAAAAATGGGTCTCATCTAGGGCCACACTGGGATTTTCCAGGAAAAACACGGCTGTACAGTTACGGGAGCATTTTCCAAGATGCAAAGTCACCGAGGGAGTAAACTCGGGTGAAATGGAACGATGGGGACAGGGAAGGTCTGGCTGCATTTCTGTGGTGAGCAGGCTGCGTCCTTCACTGTCCTTGGGTTTTCCAACATTCCTTCATTTACTGTCAGGGTGCCATTTTTTTTTTTTTTTTTTTGAGACAGTCATGCTCTGTCACCCAGGCTAGAGTACGATGGCAGGATCACAGCTCACAGCAACCTCAAACTCCTGGGCTCAAGTGATCCTCCTGCCTCAGCCCCCTGAGCAGCTGGGACTCCAGGCCCAGAGTGTCACTTAAACTATGCTAAGGAACTTGCAATTAGGAGCATTAATTCATTAACCTGTTGCCCTTCCCCGGCATTAAGTATCACAACAGATAAATGCCGGACTTTTGACTGCACAAAAACACAAGCACTTTACACGACAGCTGTGGACACTGGCGACACACGCTGTCCGAGTCACACGCGGGAATGAGCTCACACATCGCGCAGAGAGCGCAGCTGCTCCATGAGCTTGACTGGCACCGTCCGCTTACCTTGGCTTTTTTGTCATCGCTTCCAGTCCCATCTTTGCCTTTACTGACCATGCGAGCTGATAAAACAGAAAATGAGAATGTGAGTCACACCCCTTTCCACGGTGCACGAGAGGAGCCCCCGAGGTTAGGCCGGTTTCTCCGGGATCAGTCCACGTTTCATTCAGTTGGGTCTGGTGGAAACCCCGAGGGTTTTCTTCCCCTTTGAACCTGCTAGGTCACCCACTGTTAGTACAAACACAGCACACGGGGTCATTGCTCGGAACAACCTGGCAAGAGGGGGCAGCGGGCTGGCCGGGGGTGGGGCCATGCAGAAGGGACGCAGCGGAGACTGTCACGGGTCCACACCGGCACAGAGGCTGTCTAAGGGAGGAGGACAGTGCGGCCTCCCCAACCCATAGGCTCCTTCTGGGGCTCTGCCAGGGTCAGCCCCACGCCACGGATGGGGTTAGCTCAGCCAGGCCTGGCCTCCTGCAAAATCCAAGGGTCAGGGTGGGCGAGCTGTCTACCCTGTGGCCAGGCGGGCCTCGGTTTCCTGTGAGGTTCCTGCTCATCATCCCGGGTGCCGGGGACTGACTGGACCCCCCTCCGATTCCCCTGCCACGTGGGGCCAGTCTGCCAGTGGTCCTGATGCCCACCCTCTTGGCCATCTTGTGCTGACCACCCCACCCCCATTCCTGGTCATCTGCCCCAGAATAGGAGAGAGCCTGGCAGGGATGTCTTTGTCCCCTAGTTGCTGGGTGCATCCCCAGAACCTGCCCCTCACCAATGGGGCATCGGCCACCAGTCCCAGCTGCTCCCAGGCAAGCCCAGCCAGTCCTGAGCCAGCCCCGTGGGCTTCTGATCACCCACAGGCCTCTGAAGGGCACTATCCCTGCCGTTTCCCCAAATTAGCTACACAACTAGATACCGTCAAATATCCCACGATGACACTGGCTTCTGTGTTTAGGAAGCCACACCCCTCAGTGAGCCGTCTGCCAGCGTCACCTCTAACTCATCCTTTCCCCTCTGTTGACAGTCATCATTGAAAACTGACTACAGATTTTATTCTTTGGTTTCAGGACCACATTCCCCCTGCCCCAAGGACAATGGGGCCCTTTGGAGCTTCTCACTGGCTACAGACTGGATTTCTAGAGGGACCAGCATTGACGACCCAGGCCAGAGGTTTCCAACTTTACCGTGCAGCTGATCACCTGGAGAGGTTGCTAAAATACAGACTCCTGGGCCCACCCCATGGCTGGGTCATAAGCCTAACGTGGCACCCAGGAACCTGCATTTTAATAAGAGCCCCAGGTGGACGTGACTCACATGTTCCTTCCTTTGCCCAAATCAACCAGCATCGTCCATGCCACAACAAAAGCATCTACTACATCAGCATTTCCCAAGTTGGGGTAGTACTGGACGGTCCCTCTTCCAGGGGATGTTAGCAGGGGGGATCAAATAAATTTGGGAAATCCACTCTATGTTACCTTCTCAGAGAGTCACGATATGCGTTAATACATTAAAGGCTCTGACAAGTCCTGCATGCAGCAGAAAACCTAAACTTTGTCTAGCCTGTTTTTTTCCAAACCCATTGGACAGTGGAACTCTTTTTCCCCTGGACACACCTATTAACATCTGGTGGACCAGTACTCAATAAAACATCGTTTCAGGAAACATTGTAGCAAACTCTCAAGTCACGGTTATTTGTCTCCTAATGTTCTGGAATTCAAAATAGGATATAGGATATTTTTTTCCTGTCTTAAATTTTAAACACAGGTTCCTTTATATCTACGTTTCAAAGTTTTCTCTATAAGTAGAATCTAATCAAAATTTAACAGATGTTTGCAACTGTGAGGTTAAGTAGCATCAATTTCTGGGCCCTACAAGTAATTCTAAAATGCTAAGGGTCCCGGACCTACGAACGAACCTGTCTTGTGGCTAGGAGGCCTCCCGTGCTGCTCCCAAGGGCTCAGGATGGGGCCCAGCTGGGCTCCCTGTGATACCAGCATAGGGACCCCGTCCTTCCCTGCTCAGGGGGAGGCACTTTGGACCAGGAAGGTTTTGTTGGCTCAGGCTCTCGGGGTGGGGCAGGGGTGTTGGGCCAAAGGCTCGGCGTGGGCTCTTGGGCAGCTCCAGATGCTGTGTCGCCTGCTGCGTGCGCCTCCGCATCTCTGCGCTGGGAGTGCACGCCCAGGCGCCGTGGGGTGTGGGAAGGGCGTGCCTCGCAGAGGGCCCTCCCTGCATTCTGAACCTGGCTCCGTCCCTTACAAGTTATTTTACCTCTGTGAGCATCAATTTCCTCATCTGCAAAGTGGGGCTAATCATGCCTGCTTGGGAGTGTTGGAGGGTTCTAGACAATGAATTTAAGGCACATAATAAACACTCAGACACGGGGCCGCTGTTATCCTCTCTGTGGAGTGCCCCCCAGCCTCCTGTGGGCAGACGGGCTGCTGTGGATAAACCCAGAGGCCAGAGAACTGAACAGGGCAGGGAGCACCGGGTGGGGGTGCTGGTGACATGCAAAGTGGCAGGCAAGCGTGAGGGGACACGTGCTGCCAGAGCCTGAGCCACAGGAGAGGCCGAGGGAGGGAGCAGCGTGCCCAGGTGTCGGTTTAGTGGCGTCCTCGGAACCTCGGAAGCAGCAGGAGTCAGGAGGAAGCTCAGCGGCAGTGCCCGCAGCCTGGGTGGCGCAGGAGGTCCCCAGGGAAGGGGCGAGGGAGCTCAAGACACAGACCTTTGAGCTGAGGGACCCGGCTGACCGGCTTCCCCCGCAGGCCAGCAGCAGGCCGTTTTTCAGATGGTTCTGGAAGGTCAGCCTCTTTCGTGTCGTCTCCCGAAGGGGGGCCCTGGGCCTCTAGCTCCTCTCCGGGGGCCCCTGGAAACGCAGCCCTTTCCAAATCCAGCTCCGAGCGCACCTGCTCCTTCTGCACGTTGGCTTTGATTTCCACGTGGAACGTGAACTCGGGGGCCGAGTCCTGCTCTTCTGCCGTCGGCCCTGCACCGGGCCTGCCGGGCTCCGAGGCTGGGGCCTCTGCAGACACTTTGGCGAGCAAGTCGGCAGGGAGGGGCATGGCACCCTCAGCGGGGAACCCCGAGACAGCAGCGGCTCCTCTGGAGACTGTCTGGAAGGGTGGCCCAGCAGGGGTGGGGAAGGCCTGGGAGGGCGAGGAGTCCTGGGGCGAGGACTCGTCCACATCTCGGTCTTCATCCTCCTCTTCCTCGCCCCACGGCCTCTCTTTGCCCCCAGCCACCTGCGGGAGCGGCCCCTTCTGGTGCAGGTCTCCCTCGAGCTGGTGCTTTGGCAGCTCAGAGCCACGGAGGCTCCCCTCTGTGTCCTCAGGTCCTGTCCCTGAAGGCCAGTGGGTGGCCTCTCTGGGGCCCTGAGGCAGTGGCGGAGCCCTGGGCACAGCGGACACCTGCTGGTATCCTCCGCGGCGCTCTGGCTCCCAGAGGACACTTTCCCGGACGACATCGGTGCTCTCGGGCTCCATACGGAGATGCCCAGGGGGAACAAGCTTGGCCTGGGCCCTCCCTTCTGGTTCCCACTCCTGTGGGGGCTCCTGAGGGCGTCCTGCTGGCGGCGACACTGGAAAAAGGGGGCACTGCTGAGGAAGGCGAGTGGTCACCGGGACGGGAGCTTCCGGCTGCGTCTCCCCCAGAGGTGGCACTGCGACCCCAGAAGCCTCTCCGCCGAGTCGGGGCCGGATGTGAGGGCCAAGCTCAGTGGCCAGGGGCCTCTCAGGTGCCTCCCTCTGCTGGCCCGGAACTCTCCACTGCTCTGCTTGGAAGAGGCAGTGGTGGCAAAAGTTAGCAAGGGCGCCTTCATGGTTTGAGAGAGGGAACACCGTTCTGGACACAAGGACAGTTCATGGGCATCTCAAGCCCCCCTAACACAGAGACAGGAGCACAGCTCTGGGCTCATATCGCTGCCTTGGTTTGCTTGGAATGGAAGCTGCCTTGGTCTCCTGCCACCAACTCTCTGGGTGACCCTGGGCGAGCACCTCCCCTCTCGGGGCCTCAGTGTTCTCATCTGTGAAGTGGGAGCTTGAACCTAGGGTAATTCAAGTCTCCCCAGGATTCTGGCCTCTAGGTGGGACCTGGCTTGGGTGCATCAAGGATCCTCTTCCCTCTCTTTCCCTGCTTCTCTTTTTTTTTTTTTTTTGAGACAGAATCTTACCGTGTTGCCACAGCAACCTCAAACTCCTGGGCTCAAGCAATCCTCCTGCCTCAGCCTCCCGAGTAGCTGGACTACAGGCATGCGCCACCATGCCTGGCTAATTTTTTTATATATATATTTTTAGTTGTCCTGCTAATTTTTTTCCATTTTTAGTAGAGACGGGGTCTCGCTCTTGCTCAGGCTGGTCTCGAACTCCTGAGCTCAAACGATCCGGCCCGCTTTGGCCTCCCAGAGTGCTAGGATTACAGGTGTGAGCCACCGTGCCCGGCCCTTGCTTCTCTTTTTGATAATTAAATGAAATCAGTGGGTGCCCAGAAACAAATCCTGCCTCAAGCCCGTTCTCTGATAGATTTGGAAAAATCCAAAATTGTGATCATCAAGGATCGAGTCTTGACTAACAGACCTGCTGTAAGATTCCTAGGAGACAAGCACCACTCGGATCCACCCGGTCACCGACCACAGACAGGCCTTTGGCACGGGGTGCGTTAGGCCACTGTGGCAGTAGAAGGCTCTGCGTGGCACAGACAGTGACAGCCCTCAAGGACCACCGCTGGGCTCTGGCCACTCGACTTGCTGCACAGCCCAGTTGATCGAGGGCACGCTTCCTTTTTTCTGGTTCATTCACGTGACATTCATGTGACCCCCTCTTTAAAGTATCTCTCTGTGAATTAAGGACAGGAGAATTATACTCTTCGATTCTCCTAATAGGCACCCCCTGTTTCTATATACATGTCTCCCAACTCTTTGAACATCCTGCCTAGTGCCAACAGAATAACTCACACAGCTCGTCAGCTCTCCTTCAAATAAAAACTGTAACCCCCAAGGATTCGGGGGCTTGGAAAAGGAGGAGGAAGGTGACACGTGTGCCCAGCCCTTTCTCGCCAACCTAATCGAGGTCAGGGTGGTTGCTGTTGGCTCCCTGCCGGGAGGCGCGGCCACAGCGCGGCTTCAGCTCCACCTTGCGCCCGGCCAAGCTCAGGGCCGCATTCACCTCCTGTTCCTAGAGTCACTCGCGGTGCCTGCCACACAGCAGGTGATCAATGCATGGATCCTGCGTGGGTCAACAGGCGCCAAGAAAACAAGGCCTGCAGGTGCCTTATTGGAGCCCTTGGTTAGCCTCTGGGGAGGACAGCGCAAGTGACAGACACAGCCCTGAGCCCGAGCACCAGGGCTGACGAGAGGAAAGACAGGCCAGGTCTCCACTGCCTTCTGGAAAATGCTTTCCTCCCAGAGCTTCCTAGAAATTGCTCTTGACTGGGATGTTACACTCTGATATACGACGAGACTTTAAGAAACCCCCATTGAAAAAGAGACAAGGGACTCGAATATAAATGGTAAACACATCGCGAAGAGCCATCGGTGCAGAATTGGACAGCGAGTGTGTGTGCTGACCAACAAACAGCCCGACAGGATGCAAGTTAAACTCCTGGAGGAGGGAGTCAGGTTGGGAGAATGTTCTATTCGGTTCCCAGGACACTCTGAAGTGCTGAGTAAATATTAAACACAGCAGTCACTGGGGGCGGGGGAGCCCCAGGCAAACAAGTACCTGGACAGACACACTAGTCCAAGTCCCCGGCGCCCTCCTCAGCAGGCCTGGTCCCTGGACACTCACACAAGAAAGGTCAACCCCCACCCCCCGCCCCCGGTGTGAGTGGGGCGTGGTGAGGCCTTCCCATGTCTCACTCTCAGCTCCATCCCGAAACTCCTTTTTCTATCTTAGGTACGTTTTACCTACATGATTCCAGGCTGCTGTCAGAACGTTAAAAATTCAATGAGCACAAAAGTCAGGGTTCCAGAAAAGACAGCGGCCTGATCTTTGTGTTGCATGGAATATGTTTTGGGGGCATGCAGACACAGACCGCACTAAAAATCTATAGAAAACACTAGAATTCACTTCTTTTTACGGAAATAAATGATGATTTCTAGAGGTCATACTTTATAAAAGCCTCTAGTTTTACCTAAGCTGAAAAACATGACCTAAGAGAAACGGGGTCAGGATTCTAGTTATTTCACACACAGACTGAGGTCCCCCTTATAGAGCAATTGTTCTAACAGCTTTTAAAGCTCTTGCCAGCCTAAGAATGAAGACACGCCCTTCTGTGCCGTGTGAGAAGAAAAACAGCGGCTCACTGCGGGCTCTGACCCTTCTGGGAGCAGGAACGTGCAGTTAGGACTCAAAATACCCTCAACCAGGCAAAGTCCCCCAAAGCCAGATGGCACTAGTGGCGGCTAAACGTTGGACAAATCCCACATCACTTTCTGGAAAAAAGAACAGTGTCTTCCCAGCTCTCTTGCAATCTGGAAGTTTCCACATTACAGAGGAGACTCAAGTTCATTTATCTGGCAAATGTAGAAGACAAACCCAGCCCATGTTTAATCTATATCGGAGGTCTCCATTTCCTAAAATTAGGAATCTCTAGGATTTTGAAATTCTTAAAATGTTTATGCTAGATGATTATAGAAAGCTGCATTTCTTGAACACAACAATTGGGTTCCTGAGAAGAAAATCGCAATGAGGTTTGAAGTTTGCACAGAGCAAGGCTCAAAAGCAACATTTGGGGGTGATGCGGCTGAGGCCTCGCTCCCGGGCAGGCTGGAGGGAGAATCCCCCATCAGATATATTTGAGTTTCTGCTGGACATCATTCTCAATGCTCAGGCTGGACAAGGCCAGCTTCTTTCAGGACACTAAACACCTTATGAATTACTCAGAAACGATGTTAGAAAAAAACCCACAAGGGCTCTTTCTATATCTGAATAATCCACCTTTGATAAGAACCAACTCCCCAAACCTCCTGGACTCACGAATGAGGGCCAAGTCCATATTTTCTTTTCAGGGTGGAGCCCGTCTGAGCGTTCCCAGGTCCCTCCTCCCAATCCCCAAGTCCTGGCAGGCAACTGTAGCCCACTGACCTTGGGTCACGTGTCCAGCAGCTTGGTCTTCCAGGTTGGGGGTGTCTCCAATGCCTGCTTCTTCAGCTGATTTAGGTGTCAGCGAATGCAGAGGATAAAAGCAAAGACAGTTATTGTTTGCTAGAAACAAAGCTCTCTACATTTTCTGGTACTTTCCTAAAACATTCAGGAAAGGCACATCCAAAGAGAACCAGCTCTGGCTTCTCTGCAAATGTCATTGCTGAGGACGTTGATGATGAAAGTTCACTAAGTGAAATGCACGACACTCACACGCAGGTGTGGCTGTGATCTAGCAGGGAAGGCCTTCTTCACTGCGGGTCCAGGGTCCTGAATGCCTTACTCGACAAGGACGCACAGTATGGGTGAGGTCAGAGAGGCAGTCTGCTGCTGAGACACAGCCATGGGGGCCGTGTCCGAGCAGTGGCTGCATTTCCAGCCCCAGCCAGCATGCCAGGAGGGCAGGAGGCTCAGGGAACGACTATGCCTGGGTGGCAGGTTCATATCCAGGCGCCGCCATGCACTCAGTCTCTCGAGCCTGTTTCCCCATCTAGAGCCCCAGAGCGACGATACCGGTTTGTCTTGTAGGAGGACGGTGAGGGTTAGTTAATAAGAGAATCTGTGTGAACATGTGTAGCACAATGCCTGGCATGTGGCAGGTGCCCTAAACTGTTACTTTTCTTTTGTCCAAACTACTGGGCAAACCCCTTTAATGGCACACCCAGAACAGGTGTGACCTGGTGGGAGGGAGGCCAGCAGTGCTGGTGAGCAGCTTGTGGGGTGTCTTGTGGTTTAGGAAGCCACAGCGCACCCCAAACAAAGCAAATGAAGATTTAGAAAGTTCCTGACCACATCAATATACCACAATCAATAAACTTTAATACCTAGAACACTAGTTTCTGCCTTGTGAACAACCAGGACATTGCTACAGGACGATGGTTAGAACTGTCCAGAAGACGAGTTTACAAGGCCAGCTGGCCACGTTGACATGCACTGACCTCACGACATCAGAATTACCAGCGTGCCCTGAGCACAGTGACAGAGAGGCTACCGCCTCCAAGAAATGCCTACGAGTTGCTGGCAGGGCCATCGGTCTTATCTCCCTGACCTGCGATGACTCAGTCACTGCACCTAAAACAGAAATGCCAAGTCACCACCACTGGCCAGCACAGGCCTGCACGAGCGCGTGGGCCGGGGAAAGAAAGGTTCTTGAGTTGCTGGACAGCCCCGTGGTGGCCTCAGAAATACGAGTCCGCCGGCTGTCCTGGGGCAGCCGAGGTGGAGGGAGGAGGGCTCACCCGCTGGGCAGCACGGACACCCTCTGGGTGCCCCCCAGCCGACACTGTGCTGTCCGTGTGCTCCTGTCCTGCAACCACAGCACCAAGTGAGTGTTGGCCCACCTGTCCAGGGGCACGGCTCTGCGTGTCGGCTTGGTCTGAGTTCCTGACAAGGTTATGGAAATGGAAGAAAGGCTTGGAGTGACAGCAAGTCCAGCTACAGGGCCACGCAATCCTGGAGACAGAGGACAAGAGGAGGCATTCCCAGACGACGGCACGTGGGGCACTGGGTGAGCTGACTTGCTTTCATTCGCCGGCGCAGAGTGGCGACAGCCTCGCTTTGGGGTGAGTCAGCAGTTGGAGGCTGCGTTATCTCCGACGCCCCTGGACCCCAGCAAGCGAGGTGCTCGGAAACACGGAAGGACGGAAGGAGGGCAGAGGTTGGACGTCACATCACTGATGGCCTCTCTGTGCCCCTGGGGAGTATTTCACGTGGAACCACGAGGACTCCATGCTCGCCAGCAAGGCGGGGCCCTGCGGTGGGGCAGCCACACTGCGCCCCGAATGGATGCCAGTGGGAAGTGTCACTGGAACACCAAGGTACAGAAAATAGGATATGCCAAAGCAAGGTGCCAAACGAAGGTCCATGTTGTCAAGTCAACAGCTGAGAAAATGTTCACCCAACTCTAAAACCTCCCTGCTGCACGCAGGGTGTGAAAGGCGGCAGGGTGGAGTGGGGAGAGGATCTTAAAGGCGGATTTCACTGGAGACAGTGGCTTGGGGGTTGGCTCTGGGGCCACCTCCAATCTCAGCCCTAGCTAAAGGGTTTCAAGGCACCATGTGGAGACCCTGGGTGCGTGTCCCCTCTGGTTAGGGACCTGTGGACTACTGCTGTCAGGGCCCCAGCAGGGAATGGGCCAGCCCTGTTTTGGGGGCAGAGCAAAGGGGTGTCGCCCACAGTTTGCTTGCCGACGTGTCCCGTGGCCCTGATGTGGTCAGAGCGTGTCTAACAGGTCGCCAGCAGGAGTGAGCGAGCTCAGCAGGATGAAGCTGGAGCTAGAGTTTCAGATCCCAAGAGGCCGAGGAGAAAGGATGTGCCTGCCAGAATCCAGCACAGGAGGAGGCTCTCTAGGGAAGGAGAGCTGGAAATTGGGGTGGGGCGGGGGTGGGGGAGGCAGGGGAGAGTCTGGAAGAATCCAAATAACGTCCCCATGAGAGAGATTCTCCCTGAAACCGCTCCAGCGGGTGGGAAGCGGCTCACGTCAGCGCCAGCCCAGGAAGGACCTTCTTGCCTCGCCCACCGCCCCCAGCACCTCCCTGCCAGCCCCAAGCGGACAGCTGCAACTCCGAATGGAGTTAGGGCTCTGACTGTCACATGGCACTGGCCGTTCTAATTAGCACTTGCAGACTGTGTTTTGCCACTATGGAGACTAGAGTGCTTTCAATGACTTTGGAATGATGGAAATGTCAAGAGTTGCCTGAATTTTCATCCCAAGGCAGGGGATGAACTTCCCTCACTGAAAAAACTACGATGGGACAGCAGGAGATAAAACCAAGCCACCCGTGATCTCACCCCGTGAGTTGTTCCGCAACCTTCAAACGTCCTTCACGCTCTGCCCAGCTTCGAGAACGTGCCCTCCACCCATCCCGGAAGACGTCACTGCTGATCAGCTCACAAAGCAGAAGTGCGCTTGGGTGGCATGGGGTGGGGGTGGGTGCTGCTCGCCTGCAGTGGCGTGTTCAGCACACAGAGCCCGGGGCGGAGCTGCAGGCATCCCGATGGCTGCCGGGAGCTCCATCTTTAGGAAGGAAAGAAAAGCTCCTGCCTGGGGACGTCCTCCCTGCTCTCCGCTGCCGGTGCAACCCCGTCTAGGACTCTTCTGCATTTCTGTTGGGCAACTGGGCACCAAACCAATGGCTGGAGTCTTTACATAAGTGCAGTGACGAGGACGTGAAGGAAATGACACCAGGAGCTCCAGGCTGCGAGGGCGCTTCCTGGGCCCCGGGGGATGGGCAGCGTTTGGGGGACTCTGCAGCCTCGAGTGCTGTCCCACTGATTCCCGGTCATTGCTGTCGACAGGACGCTCTCCCCATGCCAGTTCTACACGGCTATGTTTGAAAAGGCGACGCAGTCCTAGAAGTGGATGCCGGATCGCACATTTCTGAAGTCTTCCGGGATGGCCCGGTGAGATACTCAAAAGGTGTGGTTCAGTCATCTGGACCCTGCTGCATGCTCAGGTGCTCCCAGGCTAAGCCACCCCCTGGGAGGGGACCCCGACGCCGCTGGGCAGAGTCTGAGCTGAGTGTAGACTGACCTCAGGTGGAAGGAGGCATGGCTCTGCCACTGCCTGCCTCGGAAAACCTTATAGAGAACTCTCTGGAGCCGATGCACAGACTCAGGCAAGAGTAGCAGAGCCTAGGAGGACCCCGGAAGGCCCTAAGCCCTGGGAGGCTGGCAGGCAGCCACAGAAGCAACAGGGCACCAAGGTGCCAAGCTCCTAACAACCCAAGATTCCCAGAAGCCGGCCTCTGCCCACACTCCTGCCTCGCGAGAGGACGACCCAGAGTGCGCCAGCTCCTGCGGCAGGTCGGCTGGGCACTCCGGGGGCCTTCGTCGCCCTGGTGTCTCTGGGGAGCACCCTCACCTGTGGTTCCTTCTGGGATCTCCGTGTGGGGCTGGGCGGCAGCCTGCTCGCCGGGGGCTCTCTCATCCACTAAGGGCGCTGTCACGTCTGGAAACCACCAAGAATCACCTCAGAGGGGCCAGGACAGGCCGCGCCAAGCCCCTCACCTTTGCTTCGTGTGCGGGAGCAGTGCAGGGAGGGGGCGGGAGGGGATCAGCCGCATGCAAGAAAGCAGCCCCACAAGGCAGGCCCGAGCCTCGCTCTGTCGCGGCATGCGGCACCAGCTCGTGATGCCCATCTGCCAGGGGAGCCAGCAGCCCCACGTCGCTGCAGGGAAAGGGACTCCCAGGCATGGTCCCGGGAGTTGTTTTTTTTTTTTTGAGACAGAGTCTGGCTCTGTTGCCCTGGCTAGAGTGCCGTGGCGTCAGCCTAGCTCACAGCAACCTCAAACTCCTGGGCTCAAGCGATCCTCCTGCCTCAGCCTCCCGAGTAGCTGGGACTACAGCCATGTGCCACCATGCCTGGCTAATTTTTTCTATATATATTTTTAGTTGTCCAGATAATTTCTTTCTATTTTTAGTAGAGACGGGGTCTCGCTCTTGCTCAGGCTGGTTTCAAACTCCTGAGCTCAAACAATCCGCCCGCCTCGGCCTCCCAGAGTGCTAGGATTACAGGCGTGAGCCACCGCGCCGGCCTGGTCCAGGGAGTTTTTAAAGAAGAAATATTGCAAACCAGATGATTGTTCACTGCGGTTTCATCCTAAGGCAGTGCAGCAGGCTGGGACTGGGACTAAGACAGGGAGGGGACTCTGGGCTTAGGGCCAGGGCCTGTGGTTTTGCTGTGAGGCTTTGGGCAAGTCCTTTGTCCTTTTTGACTGGACAGTCTCCTCATCTGTAAAATCGGAGTGTCATCTCTAGGTGATCTCCAAGATTTCTTCCAGCTCTAAGCCCTGTTCCTGAGCCCATGGCCCACAATTAAGAAGTGCGGAGTCCCCTGCATGGCAGTAAACAGGCCCAGACCTGTCCACGGTCAGGTACTTGACACTGGATGGCGGCAGGTAGAGATCTGCCACCAGGGGCTGCTGTCAATCTCTCATCAAGGTGAACACTTCCAAACCAGCGCTCCGCCCCGAGCAATGCCCTGGCACACTCCCAGGCCATTCTGGGCAAACATAAGGAGCTGTCAGCTTTGAAGGCTTTCCAAGAGCCTAAGTAAGCTTAGTTCAATGAAGGACATTTTAATTATGGTCGTCTCAAGTGCAGGCAGAGCAGCCGGGCAGAGCCCAGCCCCAGCAGGGCTCCCTTCCCTGCGGGTGAGAGCCAAGGCTCCAGGGCCCACACATGCATGGGGTCCAGAGTGTGGCAACATTTGGTTGGGCGATTCTTCCAGAATCACGTTGATGGAGCCACAGAAGCCAAGGTTTTAGGCTGGCATGAGGTCTGGCACGGTGTTTCAGGACTTTCTCCGGGTGGCGGGCAATTTGCAAAACTGTCCTGACAAGATGAGCAGGAAATGTCTTGCATCACCAGCGTGAAGCAGGAGAATTTGGCCTGGATATTGTCCTCACTAGGCTAAGAACCTCAGGGGTGAGGGCCACGCCTGCCACATCCTCCAAAGATGCGCCATTATACCAAGCACAGGCAGGCACTCGGCAGCCACTTTCTGAATTAACCCAAAGGTGGACGCTTGGGGAGACGCTGGGTGAGGCTCCCAGCTCGAGACACAGATGTAACACCCCAAATAGCACGCAGGCCTAGAGAACTGCTCAGGACGGAACCTTGAACCTCCTCGAGAAGGATGGGGAGATGGAGGGGCAGCTACTGCAGACAAGTGACTCGAAAGCCATTCTCAGTGCCTTTTCCTTTGATTTCTTCTACTAAAGAGGCTGACAAGCAAAATGCTCAATGTCCCAGCTTCCCTGGCAGCCAGGGGTGGCCATAAGACCCAATTCTGGCCAATGAAACATAAGGGGAAGTCTTCCACTTGCAAGAAAACTCTTGATTTCCTAATAAAAAGGGAACACATTTGGTTTCAGGGCCCTTTTGGCCACTCTGCTTTGCTACTTGTGCTTGCTTAGAAGGCAGATGTGATGGCTGGAAGTGCAGCAGCCATCTTGCAACCATGAGGCAGGAATCCAACCACTAAGGACAACAAGATCAAGCTAGAGGAGCACCAATGACACTGGGGAGCTGCTGCCCAAGTCCAGACATCTTCTTATGTGAGACAAATAGACCTCTTCATGGATATGACACAGTTAGCTGGGCTTCCTGTTTCCTGCAGCCAAATGTAGTCTTGACTGACACAGACAGGAAGCAAGAGAAGGTGGTTAAAACGAGGACTGAGGAGCATGTTAGAAAATACATGAGGCACTTTACAACCACCTAGATACCAAATGTCTGGAGAGGACAAGTTAAAAGAAGTGCTGGAACAAACACCATGGCCAAAGTCCAGATACCCAGACCATCTGCCCCAAAAGGAAGGAAGATACTAAACCAAGACCTATCCCAAGGGGTGGGCTTGGAGGTGTACACAGACCTGCCTCTTCCCTCAGCAAATGGCTGCTCTGGGACCTGTCAGCCCCATGAAAGAAGAGCAAGGCGGGGGCTTCTGAAGGGGTGAAGAAGGACAGTCTACACAGACAGGGGCTCTGTGGAACCCTGTGCAGAGCACACCCGTGATGGCGGCGCCCACACCCGGCACCAGGCGGGGCTTGGCTCCCGCAGCGTGTCCTGCAAAGCACTGAGCGGGCGCATGTCTCAGCCGGAGGGAAAGGGAGCAGGGCCAGGAGGGGCGGCTGAAAGCATGGCTAAGCGGGGCTGGAGCGTGGAGGGCACTGTCTGAATGGAGCCGTGAGGGGAGGGAGGCCCCACCTTCGGCCGTCGGAGTGCTCTTAGCATCAGAGGTTTCAGAGCCGGGTTCCTCAGATCCGTCATCAGCGGGGGTCTGCGGGGGAGACTCTGGAACACACACAATGAGCCCCTCAGAACGGCTGCCTCTCCCTGCCCCCCTTGAACCTCAGGAGGTACGTGGGGAGCAGTGTCTTTTGGAACTGAAAATCCCTCAGCATCGAACCCGGAAAGTGGCCTCATGATAAAACCACAGAGGGGACCAACCCCACTCCCCACGCCAGCACGACTGTGCCCCACACCAGGGTCCTCGGGCGAAGACGCAGGTGACATGTGTTTGCTACTGGGTGAGAGGAGAAATTGCCTCTTACCAGCCGGTGGTTCCAGCTGAGGAAAAGGCTGTTCTAGTGACAAATGGGCAGCAGGTACCAGACAGCAAGGACACACGTGAACCTTTTGCTTTGGCGTTGCTATTAACGAACAGCAAGTAACGCCTTGAGAGCCAACCCCTCCCTTGGAAAAGGAATCGGCCCAGGGCAGACGCGGTGCGTGCCTGTAAATGGACATTTGGTGCGTCTGGACTTTACCCAGCTCCTTTCACAGAGAGATCTCCAAGGACTGACCGACGAGCTGTGAGTTACATTTGAAACGTTGGCCGTGGGACCTACAAGAAAACTGTGCTTTCGGAATCCAAAGCCAGGTAACAGGGGCCCAAATGACCACAGCGGGTGACGGTCACACCCTCCACCACGAATGACCTTGGTAAGGCAGCTTTTGTTGGCTTAATAGAAATGAGGAAATTTACCTCCTCCTCCTGGCAGGCCTGAATTGTGCCCTCCCCTGTGGCACCTTGGCCACCAGGAGTCAATCCGCCCTGGTCATTTCGTGGGCTCATCGATGCGTCACACAGGATCCAGGGCTGAGCAAGCCAAGGCCTCACAATAGGGAAGGTCGAGACCACTTGGGAGCCCACTGTGCACAGAGCTGAGTGCTGGCGTGGAAGACACAGCCCGCCCTGCAGGAGCACACAGTCTAACGAGGGAGAAAGGTCACCACACGTATCAGGGCAGGCCCAGGGCCAGCAGATAGTGCCCTCCTGGAGGTCTCCTAACAGGAAGTGGGAGTCTCAGTGCAGAGGGCACTGGACCAAGGGTGCAGACGTCTGGATTCAAGTCCCTATTCTACCTCTTTCTAGCCAGGTGGCCTTGGACTGGCCTCTCAGGGCCTCAGTTTCTTCACCTATAAAATGGGTGAGATGACAGCAACGCTGCCTGCCTCCTCCTGGAGCTGCTGGAGGATCCCATGAGTGAATGGTGCTGGCAGCACTTCCAGACCGCGAGGATTTCTACTGTGGATCTGGTGCTCAGCGCCGTGAAGGAGCCGAGTTTATGGGGACAATCCTGGGCTCCCCTTTCAGGTCAGGCCCACCTGGTCTGTCCTCAGGTAATCACCGCAGTAAGTCATGGCTCACACTAGGATGGATGGACGGATGGATTACTGGATAGATGGCTGGATGGAAGGATGGATTATTGAACGATTACATGGATGTATAATTAAATGTGTAACTGGATGGATGGATAATTGGATAATCAGATAGATATATGAATGTATAATTGGATAAATGTATGATTGGATATATGATTGGATGGATGGATGGATGGATGGATAAACGGACTGATGGTTGAATGCCTGAATGACTGGATGGATGATTAGATGGATGGTTGGATGAGATGAGCCATCTACTTTCCCTCAGCTCCTCCTGCGCCTGGCCCTGCATGCCCAGAAAGTCCTCTCCAGTTTACCCAGTGGCATCTCACCTCTGTGTGACAGAAATTCCTCACTCTTCATGCACGTGTTTCCTCTGCTGCCTAATTGCTCTATTCAAGGCTTAGACTGAAATCCAGAAGGCAGGGAGGTAGATCGCAGCCTCTGGAGTCAGGAAGATGGGGCCCAAATCCTGGCTCCACCACTTACCAGTTGTGTGACTCTAGGCAAGTACCTAACCTTCCTCTGCCTCAGTTTTCTCCCCTGTAAAATGGACACAGTCATAGTTCCACCCTCTGAGAGCATGAAACTGCTTAATGCTTATTTAAAGCACATTGTACCTTGTGTGGCAGGTGAGAAGCCCCCCGTCAGTGGCGGAGATTAACATCAGTCATTATCATGCCAGCCTGGTTGAAGGGCCCAGTGCGGCACGGCTCACTACCAAGAGGCTGAGTGTCACGGTGCTGATGGTGGGGACGCAGACACCGACTGGAGCCCCGGGGGCTCCTAGCAGGTAGCTGACCACTGCAGCAGAAGGACAAATGAGCTCTGGCCACATGAGGACAGGCGTCACTTTGCAGTGACAGTTCATGTGAGATTAATACCCCATCAAGCACATGGGGACTTTCAGTCTGGAAATTGCAAACACCCCTCTGTGGCACAGACTGCTGGGGACCCCCCTGGTGTCGATTCTTCCCACCCATCCTGGGAACAGAGCCCTGATATAACATAGGATGGAGCTGTGCCCAGTTAAAAGGCCACATCATCCAGCCTCCTGGGCAGACGAGGGTGGCCACTGAGATGTCAGGGGACGTCATCGGATAGGATGTCCAGGAAACATCTGGATGGGAGGAGCTCAGCTGGGAGGCGTTCCCTGTGCCCTGCTCCCGCCCTCCCTCCCAGTGGCCTTTCTGAACCAGGAGACACATTGAGGATGGAAGCCACGTGCTCAGGAGGGGGGTTCTTTTCAGCCATATGAAAAGTAAAAGCCATTGTCAGCTCACCAGCCGTGCAAAACAGGCTGGGGACCCGATGTGGCCGGTGTAGTGTGCTGAGCCCGGGTTTAAGGAATGGCTCTTGGCCCTGACTGGATGACAGGAGGAGTGTGTAAAGGCCACAGGGCTGCTGTTGCAAAACCAAGGTTTGTGGTGAGGAGGTCTGGACTGGGCGGAAACGGGTGAGGTCCCCGTGTGCTGTGAGTGTTATGGGAGTCACGGGCCGAGGTCATGGAAGACTAGTTGATGGTACCACCAGCGGCAGCAGAGAAACCAGGAATGGCCCAGGATGGGGGCAACTGAGCTTGGTTTTGACTTGTTAAGTTTTGGGGGTGGCTTGGGCATTCAGGAGAGATGTCCCTTGGGCAACAGGGAGGCTCTGGTGGACTTGGAGGAAGCCACCCCACCTGGGGTAGGGGCAACCTTAGCGTCAGTTTCAGGATGGGGGCACAAGGCAGAACGAGAGAATGGGAAAAAAAGGCAAATGGAGTTTAGGTGCACCGCGAGATCAGATACCCCACTCTTTGTTAAAACGCCATCCCTGGGCACCCAGCCCTGGCTGTGCCCATCCCCCCAAAGAACAGCTAACTCTAAACAAGCTTCCAGCACACACAGCTCCTTGGTCCTGGAGCTTGCAAAAACCTGCCAACAACCTCAAGACAGCTTTGCACAAATGGTGAGGCAGCATCATGCAGACTGTCTTCTGGGTTTGGTTATTATTAACCAGCCTAGATTGCGGGGCACAGGGGAATTTATATGGGGTGATGGTGCCCTTCTCCCAATCTGTCCCGAGCCTGACATCCTCATCATTTCATTATTCCTGTTAAATTCCTTGGAGGGAGGGAAGGAGGGAGGAAGAAGCCTCTTTCGAATATCTTACCTGGAAGGTGTAACAAGTTAACCCATCAACACCTTTTAATTCATTAGTAACCAACTTCCACCCACTTTGCAGCTCTCTTGGGCCGCATCCAGTCTTATTTCAACTTTTAGCAACCACTTAGATATTCTTTATTCTGGTATTTAACATGTGGTTTCTTGTCATTATTCAAAATACTGTTCTGTCACTTATTTAAAATATTGCTAGTAAAGTGACACCTTCTGCCAAGTCAAACCTGCCACTCCCTATATAAAAACAGCTCACTCTAAACCCTCAGCAGCAAGAATTAATTTGATGAGAACTATGAAAACCTCTTTGGTATCACTTGCTTTTGTGGGAAGTATATTCTTTGGGTAAGCAAATTATTTTCAAACTCCTGCCTCTCACAGCAATTTTAAAAAAGGAAGGTTAGCAATTTAAAATTTGCATTAGAACAGTTTTAGAGTTATAGAAAATTTGTGAAGACAGTACAGAGAACATACCCTACTCCCGGTTTCCCCTGTTGTTAAAATTTTACATTATTGCAGGACATTTGTTGCAACATAATATTTAGGTTATTAGGTATGAAATGTCTGATTTCCTTAAATACTAAGTTTGACAGTTGATACCTCTGACATTTCACTTTGACACTTCTTGTTTTATTTTTATTATGAAGGTACATCCTCAGTCTTCAAACACACGTTTTGGCTTGTGATTACCTTTCAAATTTCCTTTAAAGCAATTTTTGTGAAACCATGGATAAGTCAAAAATTCGTGTTAGTTTCGAATATGAATTCTGTCGTGGAAATAATACAGCACAGACATCTTGAAATATCAAGGAAGTGTTTGGGAAGGATGTGGCTAATGAACACACAGTAGTTCGATGGTTTGAAAAGTTCCATTGTGGTGATTTTAATCTTGAGTATAAGCCATGTGGGTGACCTGAGACCAAGGTGGATAACGATGAGCTGAACGCTGTAGTGGAAGCAAATCCATCTCAACCTATGTGTGAATTAGCAGCCAGGTCTGACGTTACTATTCCAACAATACTGTATTACTTGAAACAAATTTGCAAGGAAAAGAAGCTGGATAGATGGGTTCTGCATGAATTAAATGAACGTCAGAAGAGAAATCGTCTGGAAGCTTGCCTTTCTTTGCTGTCACGACATAAAGGCCAACCATTTCTACACCGTATTGCTATGTGTGATGAAAAATGGATTCTTTTTGACAACGGCAAGTATTTGGCACAATGGTTGAATAAAGATGAAGTGCCGAAACACAGTCCAAAACCAAATATTCATCGAAAAAAGCTAATGGTGTCTGTTTGGTGGTCCAGCACTGGTATTATCAGTGGATAATCAGCTCCACAGAACCTGGTCAATCAGTTACAGCAGATGTCTACTGCAACCAATTGGACAAAATGATGAGGATGCTTGTGATTAAGCAACCGAGATTGGTCAAGAGAGACAGGCCAGTTCTCTTGCAAGACAACACTGGACCACGTGTCCTACAAACAACATTGCTGAAACTACAGCAGTTGGACTTGGAAACTCTCTGTCATCCACCGTATTCACCAGACCTTGCACCAACTGACTACCACTTCTTCCAGGCTTTGGACCACGTCTTGCAAGGAAAAAATACTCCATTCTCAACAAGCTGTGGAAAAGCCTTTCGAGATTTCAACGCCACTCACTCTCCGGGCTTCTTCCCTGCTGGCATAAGCAAGCTACCGTTACGATGGTAAAACTGTGTCGATGGTTTAGGGGCATACTCTGATACTTGTACTGCTTCTTGTTTGAGATATAATAAACTAAACTTTTGATTTGAAATTGGACATTTCATATTTAATGACCTAAATATCTACTTTTAACTTTATTTTTAAACCAGGCTGCTCTGCCTCTAAATACAGTGTCATTTTTCATAGGCACAATTCATATGAGGCAGGATTCAGTATGTCATGATTCTAACTTGGATTCCACCCACAGGAATTTAGAGAAAAAACTCCTTTGTCATCTGTAAAGGGGAAGTGACCTGCCCTCACCAGCTGCTGTGAGCACCACCTGGACCTTTGGGGGCAAAAGCCCTTTGCCAACAGTAGAGCTCTACAAAAATCCCCAAATTATCACTTTAAGGTAGTTCCCTTTCAAGTAGGGTGGCCGTCTACTTTATCACCTGAATGGGGACACTTGAAAGCCAAAGCGCCGCTAACAATGATGCAGAACAGACATGCTGGACATGTGTGCTGCGCACCTGGTGAGGGGCTCTTGGGGTCTTTGTCAGGACAAGAGGTGAAACCTGGCCCCCGACCCCAATCTCCCCCAGCAGCACCACCCTGCCAGGAGGCAGCTGGCTTCGAGAGGTTAAGCTTTGGGGTTGAGGGCTTGGGGGGGCCACCCCTCCTTCAACACACCCTGGGCACGGTGGGGGGAGGCCTGCAGGGGGAGGAGGAAGGGAGGAGAAGGGAAGAGGGGAGAGGAACAGAGAGAGTGCAGGAGAAAGCAGGGTGGAGGGGACCCAGGGAAGAAGGGACTGAGGACTGAGCAGGATTTAAAAGAGAAAGCAGATTTCCTAACTCGGCCTCCCAGCTGTGCTCTTCAGGGAGCTGAAACTCCAGCCGCTGCGCTGCATGGAGGCGGCTTGTCTCCATCCCCACACGCTGACTGACCCCAGGCAGGGGGGCTGGGCTGGAGCCACGTTTCCCTCTCTCCCCTCACCCCAAGCCTCTAGGCCCCTGAGCACCACCCTGCACGCACAGTGTGCCCTATCCTCCTTCACCTCCCTCCAAAAACCTGTACCCACTTTTCAGATTCCCAAGTTCCTCTTCATCCAATACCTTCCCTGTGTCAACAGACAGAAATCAGCCTTTGAAACGAGGCCCCCCAGTGAGCCCTGAAACCTCTCCAAGGTGGGGACCCGGCTTCCCACTCCCAGGGGCTGCCCGGTGACCCCCCTCCAGGCATCTTCCTGGATAGACTACCCAGCAGAGGTCGTTCCCCACCTTGGAGCTCCGTGACTTCTATTCACGACCCCACTGCCCGGGCTGCAAAGTGTTCTGTTATTTTTAGCATTAAAAGAGAAAAGTAAACTGTTTGCCACTTTTCTCCTTAGAAACGGGTCCGGAGGCAGGGACCAAGTCCTTGTACTGGGTGGCATCGTGGGCTACCCCTGGAGCACTGGCTGCCAGCAGCCCCTGCGGGGAGAACAGCTCCTCGTAACACAATCCAGCACCCTTGGGCCAGCGTGGTTCTCCTGGGGGCGAGTGAGGGGCCAGCGCTGGGGGCCCGAGGGGGCCGTACATGCTCCGTGGGGCTCCCCGAACACAATGGCAGTGAAATGAAACACACTCGTTTGGAAGGGGAGAGGACAAGGCCGCTTCAATCTGGCCAAAAGACCTTATTATGGAATATTTAGAAGCTGAAGCAGTTTATTAACGTGGATGTAGTAAGAATCCCAGAGCTGATCAACTCTTGCCCGACAGGGGCCTTTCAGGCCTGATTTAAGGAAGAGATAAAAAATAATGTATTATTGCCATATATTTTACATGCTGACGAAGACTACTGATTTATAGGCTACCAGGTGTGGCTAAAGACTCAGGAGAGTACCTGCACCCTGTATTCGTGAGACCATGAGACCGACAAGGGCCCTGCCATCTCTGTCACACTGCGCTCACTCTCGTGGCAAACTCTCCTTTGGAAAGGTAAATTTCAAATAGCCTCGCCTTTTAGGTTATTTTGGCCCATTCAGATTAATGAGGCTTCCCTGTATTGACAATCTCAGACAATAACGTATTTAAAACTCCTTTACAATCTTCATACAAACCCATGCTACCAGCCCTTGCCAAAGCACGTGGGCTGTGATCCGCGGGCCTGCTGTGCGGGTCGTCCACTAACCTTTCAGGCCGTGGTCCGTGTCACCCTCCTGGTCTGGCAGCAGGGTGTAGTCGCCCTGATCTTTCCTGTCCCCCAACCCGTACGTCTCGGCATGATCTTCCATCACGTCGAACTCCTGGCGGGGCTCGGCCATCCCGGGTCAAGGCTCACCTGGGGAAAGAAGGGAGGGGTGAGTTCCAAGGAGTGGAATGGGGGGCAGGAGGAGCAGAGGTGGCGTGGTTCACGGCAGGCGGATCTCACCCACTCCCCTCTCTAAACCTTCGGACGCCCAGCCTCAGCCTGTACTCCACATCCTGGCCCAAGTGGTATTTATGTTCCTGTGCACGTTTCGTTCACCGACATCGCAGCAGTTCACGTTCAACACCACCGGGTGGGGCAGGTTTGGTGGGCCTGACTTACTAGTCCCAGCTTTCTTTTCTTTCCGCTTCATTAAAAAATAAATGCTACTGACTAGTTGTTTATTTATTCATTTATTTTTAAATGGCGAGGGTAGGACCAGACAGGAGAGGGGACGCATTGGCAAGGCATTTCTCATCAGGAAAATGAGGCATGCAGAAACAAAGGGATTATTCGATCAGATGGCAACTGGCGTCCAAAGCAAATCCCGACCCACCGGGGGTGTCCTGACTCCCCCAGCCCTGAGCTCGCTGGCCACCTCCCTTCCCGAGTCAGGCTATGGCCTCTGCTCACCTCACCTGCACCCACCGGGTCCCTCGGGTGTGCGTTCCGGGGTGACTCTCCCAATGGGCTGAAGGGCGGAAGGGGCGTGAGGCTTTGGATGCGAACAAGAACATGCACCGTCTTCCCCCAGAAGCCCCAGCCGGGACACTGCTGCAGCTCCACAGAGCCCGCTGGAAACCACATCCACTCAGACCTTCTTTTTTTTTGAGACAAGAGACTCTCTCTGTCACCCTAGGCTAGAGCGCCGTGGTGTCATCATAGCTCACTGCAACCTCAAACTCCTGGGCTCAAGGGATCCTCCCGCCTCAGCCTCCCGAGTAGCTGGGACTACAGGTGCGCACCGCCACACCTAGCTAATTTTTTATATTTTGTAGAGACGGGTCTCACTATCTTGTCCAGAATTACATTAGAGGTGGGGGCTGGGAAGCCTGGGAAGACAGGGGGTGGGGGTGACACGGCAGAGGGCACAGCACCCGCTGGACACGGGTGGGTTCTGTTTTGAGACGATCTCTGCTCCAGAGAAGAATCCCACCCCCAAACTGCACTTTATGAACCGGTGACTCATTTGACTTAATAAGCTCTAGAAAATTTAGTCTCCTCCCCTCCTTAACTTTCATTATAGTTTAAAATTTTTTTTATGGCAACACAGTGAGACTCTGTCTCGGGAAAAAAACAAAAAAAATTTTTTTTATGAATCTTTATTTTTAATGGACTTTCCAAAGGAGAGGTATTCCCCTTCAGCTTCAGGTCAGGGGTCAGCAAATGTTTTCCGCAAAGGGCCAGACCGTACGTATTTGAGGCTTTGAGGGCCACGTGGCCCCTGCTGAAACCGTCCAGCGCTGCGGCTGCGGCAGGATGAGCGGCACGGCTGTGTTCTGATAAAACTTCATCTACGGACATCGGAATTAGAATTTCATACAGTTTTCATGTATCATGAAATATCATTCTTATTTTTCTAACCACTTGAAAATGTAAGAGCCATTCTTCGCTCAAGGCCAGGTGTGGCCTGTGGGCCACAGTTCGCAGACTCCTTCCTCAGGTGTCTCCAGTATTCCTTCAACAGTAAAAAAAAAAAAAAAAAAATCTGTAAATAAGTCTCAGCAAGAATTCTTGTGTGTTCTGGTCACCTGCTATGTTCTCAGTGTGGATTTCTGCATTTCATATTGGGTTTTCTTCAGCTGCTTCTAGAGGTTTCCATAGGTTCCAGGCCAGGAGCAGGAGAATCAAGGGTCACTCCCAGGACTTGGGGCAGTGCCCTGCTTTTCTGGGGCCTGGGGATGGATGTTCTTCCAGGCTGTTTTTGGCTGGGGCTCCCACATTCAGTCCCACGGAGCACATGACAGGGAAATGAGTCTCACCACCCTGGTTTCTAACAATCCCTCTACCCACCCCCCCCACGCCCCACTTCCTCCACCCCTGCAGGGTAGAGAGAGTCAGATGCACCACTAGGAAAATGATGAATTACAGAGGCCAGTGCAGAAATTGAATCATCCTTCAAAATGCAGGCTACTATTTACTATGCAAAATAAACAAACTGTGCTTCTCGAAGACCAGTATTTTCCTTTGAGGAAAAACAGTGGGATTTGTGGGAAGAATTCTCTAGGCAGGGAGGCTCACTCCCACCCTGATCCTGGGACAGTGAACGCACTTAGGTTCATGGACCTTCTGATTAGACTCATGCAAGAGTCACAACACTCGAGCTGGCTGGCCTAGGTCCCCTGCCCGTGCTAATGTTTTGGAACCTACAGATGACGCTAAGAAAGACAAGCCCATGTTCTGCAGCAGCCCTGAGGATCTACCTGACACAGGCAGAAGGCAGAACCCAGAAAGAAGACGTCGCTGGAAAGCAAAATGAAGTGACTCTTCTCAGTCTCATGACGGACATTGACGGAGCACGAGAGCACCAGCCTCGCGGGGGCGGGCCCTGCCTGGGTCACGTAGCACTGCAGCCCCGGGCCTGCAACAGGACGTGCTCACCCGCACCTGCCAAAGCACAGGCGCTCGCTCTGTGTGGGCACCTGGCAGGCATCTCAGTGAGCCCTCACAGCAATCCTCTGAGGTAGGTGTCGTCATTGTCGTCATCATCATCATCACAGCTATCATGATTCCCAGGAATCTGGGAAGTCACCTGCCCCAGGTCACAAGCCAGCATGAGGCAGGGCCAGAATGCCAAGCCTGTGTCCTGCACGGTGACACTCAGCTGCCCCTCCCTACCTGTTCTTTCACCTTGGGCCAGAAAACGTTCCCCGACTTCCTGCCTGAGACGTTGGGGCGCAGGTCTGCGGAGCGGAGGAGCAGTGCCAGGACTCACACCGCCCGGCTGGGCGACCAAGCCACGTCTCTCAACCTTCAGGCTCTTCATCCCCCACATCACTCGGTGGCCCCGAGCTCCCCTTCTAGGCTGACATTAAGTGGGTCCACCGGGCCTGTGTCCTTCGGCACCGAGGCCTGAGGTCAGTGACAGGACAGCAGGAGACCTCCAGCCCAGGCCTGGGTGAGAGGCAGGTGGCCCCAGCACCCCAGCCAAGGGTCTGCACTCTCAGCCCCGCCTCCGTCCTGCCCCACGCCTCTCTGCCCCCTGCTGCCCTCCGCAAGGGCCAAGGGCAGGATGAACTGGACAAAGGACATCTAAGCCAATGGACAGATGGCACAGCTGTGCCTCCTGGCTCTGGGACTCCTATGCAAAGACAGAGATTGAAAAACACATAAATAAGCCGCCCCTGAGGTGGCTACGCAGGCCAGACCAGACATGTCATCACCCCGCAGAGCCCTGTAATCTAGGTGAGACACACGGACAAGAAAATAAACACGCCAAAGCTGCTCTCCTCAGACCACCTGCTTTCTTCTTCTTTAAATCGATCAGCCTCTCTCACTTCCGAACTCCTGTTTCTCAGCAGTGACTCACAGGCAATGGGGGCGCAGTGAGGAAGACATTTCGGGGGGAGCAAAAGTCGAGGGAAGCCTGGAAACTAAAACAGGTCATTTCTGAGGGACCCTTGAGAACATATTGCCTCCTGATGAGAGAAAACGAGGACCAGAGGGTCCCGGAGTCTGTCCCTGTTGGGTTGTAGCTAAACCGAGGTACGGGGAGGGGAAGGGGCTTGCTGAGTCGCTCTGGGCGCCTGCTCCTTCGGGACTGCACCCCCGGCCCCCCTCACGCCTTGCCCACTGACAGACGGAGCCGGGGCCGAGGGGAGCAGAGAAAGAGAAAAGTGCCTGCAGGGCTGAGAGATGGGAAGAGAGAAGAAGACAGTGCAGGGAAAGGGGAGCAGACGCGGGAGGGTGAGGGCGTGCGGCGGGGGAGGGACGGACCTCTGGGTCAAGTCATGGCTGTGGCTACCCACAGTCTCTCTTTTTTTTTTTTTTGAGACAGAGTCTCACTGTGTTGCCCGGGCTAGAGTGCCGTGGCGTCATCCTCGCTCACAGCAACCTCAAACTCCTGGGCTCAAGCGATCCTTCTGCCTCAGCCTCCCGAGTAGCTGGGACTACAAGCATGCGCCACCATGCCCGGCTAATTTTTTTCTATATATTTTTAGTTGTCCCATTAATTTCTTTCTATTTTTAGTAGAGACGGGGTCTCGCTCTTGCTCAGGCTGGTTTCGAACTCCTGAGCTCAAACAATCCGCCCGTCCTCGGCCTCCCAGAGCTAGGATTACAGGCGTGAGCCACTGTGCCCGGCCTTTTTTTTTTTTTTAATTTTTTTGATTGAGGTAAAATTCATGCAACATAAAAAGAACCATTTTATTTATTCATTTATTTATTTTGAGACAGGGTCTCACTCTGTTGCCCGGCCTAGAGTGCAGTGGCGTCATCGTAGCTCACTGCAACCTCAGACTCCTAGGCTCAAGCGATCCTCCTGCCTCAGCCTCCCGAGTGGCTGAGACTACACATGTGCACCAACCACCACGCCTGGCTGATCTTTTTCATTTTTTAAAAACTTTTTGTAGAGATGGGGGTCTCACTATGTTACTCAGCTGGTTTCGAACTCCTGGCCTCAAGTGATCCTCCTGCCTTGGCCTCCCAAAGTACTGGGGTTACAGGCATAAGCCACCACACCTGGCCGAAAACAAACCATTTTAAAGCGAACAATTCGGTGGCATTTAGTACATTCATGATGTGCGACCATCACCTCCATCTAGTTCCAAAACATTCTTGCTGCCCCTGAAAGAAACCCTGTATCCATTTAGCAGTTGTTCCCATTCTCCCCTCTCCCAGTCCCTGGCAACCACTCATCTACTTCCTGTCACCATGGATTTATCTATTCTGGATATTTCCCATAAATAGAGTCATACAATATGTGGCCTTTCGTGACTGGCTTCTTTCACACGGCGTCGGGTTTTCCGGGCTCAGCCCTGTCCGGCACTCACTCCTTGGGTATCAGTCCATTGTGCGCATAGAGCACACGGGCTTATCTGTTATCCATTCATCCATCCATGGACACCACAGTCTTCT